GCTATTAAAAAATATTCACATTTTGCATTAATGTTTAAATATACAAAGTGTCCGGTGACTTTTTTCCACTGAGTGTACTAGCATAAACTGCAGAAATGCCAGCAGTATGTCAGAAGTAATTTATAGTAGTCAAGCGAGCAGACATATAACTAATTAAAAATAAAACAATTAGCATACATCATGTAAACTTGTAGCAACAATTGCTTTATACTAGAGGTTTCCTAAGGGCTTTACTTGTCATTTTGAATACATGTTTGGTGGTTTAGGGTTTGTTAATTGATATAACACAATTATTAAAGTTTATTGGTCACAAACTGTGGATAGGTTTTATTAAATTGCTAAACTTTTCAGTTTTTAAAGGTGAAAAAACGCCTTTCTTTTCCCGTCTAGTTCAAAATCGTAAAATAATAATAGGCTGGATTGTCATGCCCAAATGTAACCACTAATTTCTCTCAATGTGCTCACGAAGAGCCCAGACAGATATGTTTCATGAGGCTTCGGAATCATTTCTTTCAGTTCTCCAAACTTCCTTTCATAAGTGTTCACAGCGATTCGTTTATCAGGACAGCTCCGTAAATGTTTTCCCTTCTTCTTCATTTCCACTCTTCTAAATCGTTCGACTTCACTGACTAGTTTATCACGAATGTCTAATGCCTATATAGGAGAACTGTTGTCAAATGACATCAATTGACCATTCAAGTCATTTACATTCAATTACCTCGTCGGAGCGGAACGGTAGAAAACTGGCACATATCTTACTCGTACTCCATCTTCATCCCCACTAATCTCCGGCGAACAAACCTCACTAGCAAACACTTTCTTCGCCTCACTTGAAGGATGACCCAACATTCCTTCTAATCTGTCTATAGCATCACAGTATCTTTTTGATTTCAAAACAAGAGTCAAATTAAGTTGTCTAGTCGCCAATACGGATATATTGGTGTAATTTTAGAATTACGTTAGACTGTAAATAACCGATTTTTTACGTACAGTGATTTGTATCGAAATAATTTAGACTGTAAATGTACAGTGGGTGACCAAAAGTCTCCGACCACCCCTTAAAATTTTCGTTAATCATGCATGGCTCCGTAACGAAACATCAAATTTCTATGAAACTTTAGCCGTAGTTTGCGCTTGTATTGAGCTACAT